ACCGGCACTCGTCGTCTTCAAACCATCGAAGTTAAAATCAGGAAAGGAATCATAAGGTTGGTCGAGATCATTCGACCGGTTTAAATCGTACAAGAGTAGCAGTTCGTGATCGTTTAACACACCTTCATCGTGGATTATCAAGAGTTGATTGCGAACTTCTTTCAATAAAGTGATCCTAGTTCATCCTGATAAACAGAGGTCGAATATCGATAATGTCAATAAGCTTTCAGTGCGGCAACCGCGGTTTCTGACGGTGCTGCTTAATGTTTGTGAATTCCCGCCACAACGGCGTTCTCTCCCCAGCCTTCTCACAGGTTTCGGCGTCCCCGTCGCCGTCCGCGTTCCCGCTGCTTAAAGTCCCTACTGTGTTGAACTGCACTTGAACTGCACTGCTCTTAGCCAATCAGAATCGAGTAATTTTTTCATCTGTATTATTAAATCTGTTACATCGCAAGTGTTCCGTAATTGTGTTTGTTGATTGATCGCATCTTTTGTTCAGGTTCTAGCATTGTTAAATTTATGTTTGCCACAAATTTCAGGGTGGTCCATTTAGGGTAGTCCATGAGTAGTCCGTTCAAGTAGTCCATGGACCAGGTCCAGCGGGGTAGTCCATGGACAAGGGGTCAGCAAAATGTACCATTTCATGGTCAATATAAATATGTCCAGACTGCTGACTGCGGACTACAGACTTAGGGATAAAACGCTGACTAAGCATTACAGACTGGGTTACATTGTACAGTAAAATAAAACACCAACTCGGGTATAAAACACGGACTGTGGACTAAGTGCGGCCTACCGACTGCAATCTGTATATTTTAATTACTGACCAGTTGTAACTAATATTACATAATACACATATACACGAGAGCAAACCCTCTTGTGTGTACGTGCTTTGCGATCAATTCATTTGTTTTCACCCTTGCTGAAAGGAGGCCAATTTCACGTCTACCCAACAGCTCAACTGGCACAAAACGCTGTTCCTAGAATTTTTATTGTACCAAACCTACCAAAACTCGAACGCACTCTTTAATCTACGAATACTACTAGTTTTCATTGTGGCAGAAATGCCTGGTCAGAGAGTCCAACCAGGCTAAGCTTTTACCTGTCAAAACCTCAAATTTACCGGACAACTGTCCAATGACCAACTGTTGTTTGCAAGCTTGACAGTGACATGTTTTTGATAGGCATTAATTTTGTTTTAATAATTGCCAAAGGTACATTACTTTCAAAAATTTTGGATGTTTAATTTTGGGACGCTTTGCTAGAACATAGTTTAGTTAAATGTTCACCTACGAAACTTGAGTCAGACTGGAAAATTTATGGAATTGATCTGCATTTCATGCATGTTCTCATAAAAGAAACAAAAATTTTGCTTTCAGGTGATAAAAACAACAAGCAAATCATGATTCAAGATCTTGCCTCTTCATTCTTGTGATGGCACTGTCCAAGAAGAAAGTATGTACTTAATACTGTACTGTAAATATTTTGCATGCTTAAAATTTCAAGCACTTACAAATTTCAGACAGTTATAATTTTGGACATTTTTTGTCCGAAATTAATGTTGTCTGAAATTTTTTGCAAGTAACATATATGTAAACTATTTAATTTTTATTTAGATGTCCCCCAGTTCAGAGGTTTTAAGTTGCTCATTTCAAGCTTATTTATTCCTGGGTCAACAGTATTCCTTGGAATGATTCAGAATTTGTTACCTCTGGCTTCAGAGTTAATGTCTGGTTCAGAATCACACATCCTAACAAAGAACATCATTGCCTGGCTCAAGGCCAACATTCTTCTGCAAAAACATTGATTGATTGCTCAAGGAATTAGTTTGTTTTGGTGGGGTAGAAATGTTTGGGTGATCCTTTAGGAGGTTTTGAAATTCTTAAGACTCTAAAGTAAAATTTTAAGAGAAAAGAATTATTTGCACATTGTTTTTATGCAAGTTTAGCAAAAGTCATGTACAAAATAGTTACTAGTTACATATTGGATTTGCAGGCAAGTTGTTAGAGACATAGATCAGAGGATCAAGGACCGGAGACCCAGGACGACCCAGGGCAGAGGACCCAGGACAGAGGACCCAGGACAGAGGACCCAGGACAGAGGACCCAGGACAGAGGACCCAGGACAGAGGACCCAGGACTAGGAACAGAGGATCAAGGAGTAAGGATAGGACTGAGGACTGACAACTGGGGATCAAGGACAGTGGATGAAAGCAAGCCTTGGATGATGAAGTTTCATAAGTTGAATTATAGATATATTAAGGTATATGAGATATTATCGTCAGCAGAAATGGCACAGTGCACCTTACCCTGAGGGTTTCTCTCCGGGTACTCCGGTTTCCCTCACTCCTGAAAATCCAATATTTTCAAATTCCAATTTAACAAAATTGGTAACACATTGCTGTGGGCCAACTGAGATGAAAAATTCTCTGATTACTCAAGGTAAACATTTGTAATACCAATTTATTTTTCTCTGTTTATTTCCTAGTTACATGTGCACATGTGGATTCACAGTCTCCTTTGCAGCTGTTATTTTAGTTAATGATCAAATTGGAAAGAAGCTTTATTCAATTTGTGTGTTTTTCAAAGATCTCTTTTTTAATCATAGGTAAAGGGAAATTACCACGTCAATCAACCAATCAATCAATCAATCAATCAATCAATCAATCAATCAATCAATCAGTCAACCAATAATTTAATCAATCAAAAAAAATCACTCAATAACTCAATTANCAATCAATCAATCAATCAATCAATCAATCAATCAATCAATCAATCAGTCAACCAATAATTTAATCAATCAAAAAAAATCACTCAATAACTCAATTAATAGTTAAGATAAAAAGCCAGGATATGCAGCTAACTAAAATAGCAAATACCAACCGACCAAATTTACCAAATTAAATTACTACCAAATCAACCAAATACCACTTTGGTACGCATGTAACTAGTACCCATGTAAACAGAGTATTGAACTGACCAGTGTGTTGTGTAGGTGTCGTTCATTTGCAAATAAGTGGCTTGCTTGTCACATTTACCATGCAATTCATTATTATAGCAGTCATCAATAAAAATTAACTGAAACTCAATTATGGCAAAATCTGTTTCTGTGAATTTAAAGTTTGGTAATTCTTGTTGCATTTTCATGCATACAGACATAAAACAAAAGAGAGCCAACATTTTGTTCAAAATTACCTTAAAAAGTAAATTTTTGCAACAATTATTATTATTTTCGAATTCAGAAACAGACAATGAAATTTCCAAAACCCATGCAGAAAATAAACCAAAATATATTTTAATTACATGTAGAAGTAATTGATGAAATGCTCTTTATCAAAGAAAAGAAACCTAAACTGAACACTCAATCTGACTCAATCAAAGCAAAACTATTTAGTTCTTAATTAACACTCTCTGCAGTTCCACTTTGTAGAGTTTTTAATCAGACTTTCAAGACTTTCACATACATTCTTGGTATATAAAAAACTCATAAGTATCTGACTTTTAGTTTTACAAATTTGAAAATGATGAATGAATCATCAAAACATCATTCAAAATAATATTATTATCACTGATTTTTGTTCTTAATTGTTTGTCCAAAGCCTCCGTTACTAGAAAATACAGTCAAAACTTATTTACCATTTTATTTATTTTTTACATGTGTACAGACATTTTGAGTGCTCATTAAAAATTCTCATTTTTAAATTCTAGGATGCTCTTAAGTGCAAAGCCAATAAATATTCCTATGGAGTTCTAAGGACAATTTATTTCAGTTCCTAAAAAGAGATTGAAGTTACACTTTTTTGATATATGTACAGGCATTTTGTTATACCACTAAAGAAGTCAGACAGCAGGATATAATCATTACAGTGAATTTGATTTTGCAGAAGCCACTTATTTGCTCATGAAAACCTAGTTTCTCCTTCTCACAAGATTCCTATTGAGCAGCTTTATGATGAAATCTGTTCACTTCCATTGGTTTTCCTCGGAAATCTTAAATTGAGTTTGGAGTTGAAAAAAAATGTCTTTTTTGCCAATGTCAACATAAGAAACCTTTTAAGGTTCTCTTCATTTTTATGTCTGATTTTGAAAAAAATATACATGTATGTGGTACTTAAAATACCATTGCCAGAATGCTAAACTAGTTGCTTTTCTTGAGAAAGTTTTTTTCCTGTATTTACTTTCAAAAATAAAATACTTTTTTGTAATCCAAATAAATTCGTTTTGGGAAAGTAGCTGCTCAATAGGAAACTTGTACTCAAGAAAATATTTTACTTTTGTTTTGTAGTTTCAACGTGCATCATGCTCTAAAATCATTAGCTAATTCAGTTCTCACTGATCACAATTGTTTTCTTCGGGTGAGCAATATTTTCATCTTTGTCACTGTTATTTTTTTTTTCAGATCAAATCAATAGCATGATGGTGCTTGAAACTATGGTATTGTTTTTCTTTTATCACCTTTGAACAAAGGAAGCTTCCTAAAACTACCTTTTTGTGGTAATGCAAGTAAATTTGATTGGCTGATCAAGAAATTATTAATTGAATGCAATACCAATCTGCTGCTTTTCACAAATTTATTCAATTCACTAAGTGTTATACAAAATTGTTATTTACTACTCGATCAGTATTACAAAAAATTCTGAGCTATGTTTTTCCAAAATAATGCATTTAAAGTATATTCAATTGTAGGATTAAGAAATTATGAAATCAAAGCAATAGCAATATGTAGGATTCCACAAATTTATAACTAACATGCAATTATTGTCATACAAAATTGTTATTTCTTACTCGATAAGTTTTTAAAAAACGATTTTTTTTTTCAAAAATAATTTCTTTGCCTCCTTTGTTTAAAGGTGCCACAGCAAGCTCATTAACACAGAAGTAAACAATTACTAATTAACTCAGCTAAGAAAACACTACAAATTTTGGTGTCGTAAGGTCTTCACATTAGCATTGACACTAACGTAACGATAGGCCAAACGTGGGGATAGTCAGAAGAACAGGGGTGTAGAACAGACCCTTCAGATCTAGTGGGCATTCCTGGTCAGCCATAATATTGGCATCATATAACATATACAATAGAGAGAAAAATAAACCTTATGGTTATTTTCGTAGGGTTTCGATGCAGTAGTTTTCAGTAGTTCAAAACCACTTAGGGAATCGGGCTTTTTAATCCTACTTTTCTCCAAAACGTGTTAATCAAGGCAGATTGAGTATGTCTAAGTATTATTATTACTTAAGTACCAATTCAATAGCAGAACTAGTTAGTTAGGGTATAAGTTTTTTTTTTAACTCAAGTGAATAGTTTTTTTACTGTGCTAATGAGCTTGTTAGTTTTTTCTTTGTAGATTTGATATTTCCCACATAACTTAGTATATTTCAGATTATTTTCAGGATCTGAGATGGCCTATACACCTGCACACAACACAAATGGTCAGATTTAAATCTAGCCGATCGATGTCCCTGCAGGGTTGTGGAAACTCTTGCTCTGAGGACGGTGTTTCTGACGTTCGTCTGCAATATTGCAACTGAGAAATCCTGGTGAGTTTATCTGTTCCGCTAATTTTTGATGGAGGCACTTGGACACTTTGATGGTGTGGTCGTTTGCTCTCAAGTGGAGAAAGCATCATGGGGGAAGGTGAGGGTTTGCTTTTCATGTCTTTTTGGCTTTACTTGACTACGTCAGAAAACCACACCTTTATTGCAATTGGCTTGAAAGATGTTTGTTTTCAATCAGTGTTTCTAGAATTTTTCTGTTGTTGAGGCCGTAAAACAGTAGTGCTTAGTGCGGGTCATGGGTAGTACATTTCCAGGATGTTGGGGTTAGTTTTAAACAATGAAGGTCACTGATCTGGCTTGACTGGAATTTCACAAGCGACACTAGATTGAGCTGATAGTCTTCTGGGATTCTTCTGAAAGAGCTGATTCTCGTTTAGGGCTTTTTTAAATTAAAAATAATAATTTTCTTTTCGTTTAAATTCTAAAGATAAAAACAAATTAGTTATCGATTAAAAGTAAATTAGTCACAATTATCTTAGAACATGATTTATTAACACTATCAGTCCACAGTTCAAAGAAAAACTGAGAACATTAACCGCTTATATTATAAATTAAAATTATCTGGAATTACAACTTTGGCTTTTTTTATTAACTCCAGGAATTAGTTAACCTAAAAGGACTAAAAAGCAGTCTCCTGCGCTGGCGTTACTTGAGTTGTCACGCAACACTTCTCGGAGTGTTGCGTAATGATACAAATAACGTCTATGAAGGAAGCGTCTTTTTGGAAAATTTTAATCTTAGCTACTAAACATATAGTTACATTTTCCGTGATCAAGGTTCAAAGCGTAGGCCAATTGTTCATTTTGACTTCCAAAACGTTTAACTAACCTCGTAAAGGCTTTTTTGTAACCAAACATATCCATAGTTCGATATTTAGTTTTTGCACGTCTAGGGTTTATCTTGCCTTCTTTAACTTACTTAATCTTGAAGTTGGTGTTTAATTTCTTTTTTTCAGTAAACTTTGGCCATTTTCTCATTTTGATTTCCAAAACCTGAGATTTACCGCGGAAACTGTATTTTTTGACTAAGTACATAACTGTAAGCTTATAATCAATGTTGCATTCCAAAACTGTAAATTCAACGTTTTTTTTTTTTAATTTCGTAGGCCAATTGTTCATCGTTACGTCTTAAACAAACTAAACCTAGGAAACTTTTCTCAATTTTTTTTTCTAATAGTTGCTCAACTTCGTTGTTATCCTCGGCAATGCAGCGGCAGTTAATCGTGACGAGACGAAGTCTGAAACCGAGCGGTAAAACCTTTCGTCGGGTCGATTTTGCCGTTCGGTTTACGTCGACTCTTCCGACTAACTGCCCTAAGTTTCCGAGGATCAGTCGTTTAACGTTATTCAAAGCCAAGATTAACAATAACAAAAGCACAAATAAGTTTCAAAATTCCACCGTGTTTGCCTTTTTTAAGATGATTTTAACTGTGAATATTTAATAAGATTTACTATGAATATTTAAACTACGATTTCTTCGAAAAATATTTGGATTTTTTTTACAAATTAGACTCGATCGATTTTAAATAACTGAAATTAAATATCAAAACAAAGTTAACGCAATTCTAGGTTATGTGAACGGACAAAAATCGCCCGTTTGCTTTCGCCTTAGTACTTATTTACTTTAGCAAAATACGCTTAAACCTGAAAACAAATTACTAATCTTTC